GTGTGTGTGTGTGTGTGTGTGTGTGTGTGTGTGTGTGTGTGTGTGTGTGTGTGTGTGTGTGTGTGTGTGTGTGTGTGTGTGTGTGTGTGTGGAAAGGGCACAAGAGGAGATGTGGCACACAAACATGATAAGCATTACACACAGGTGGCAGCACTACATGGGAAAGAGGTTTTGAAAATCAGAGACACTTTGGGTGACCTATCAATGGGCAGCTGAGTTAATATTGAAATACTAGAACAGGGCTGAGCTGAAGGAAACTGTCCCCCACTCCGTAACCCTAAACCTAGATTTCTAAAAACCTCTGCACCTCTTCATACTTAGATACTTTTGGAGATATGTCAAATGCAGACAAGCTTTAATTTCTAAAGTGAAAATCTGTCTCTTTTCAGTTGCCACCATCTCATCTTCTTTGCCCCCTCCTCCCTCTCCCTCCTTCAATCCAGGCTTCCTCTTTTCACACATAATTGCCACCTCCCCTATGTCCTTCTTCTCTCCTGCTGTTGGGCCTCCTCCACCTCCCTGAATCCCAGTTTATAGCTTTGGCATGCTTTTGGGTCATGCTGTGGTGACAAAATGGTGGCAGCTGTGTCCAGGATCAGACCTGGCGCTGATCATATTCAGAAAGGTTTGGCAGCGGAAGGTTGAAGGGGATAGAAAAATATAAAAGCGACTATGGACGAGGGTATTAAAGCCACATCTGTGATTGAATATATTGCACCAAGGCTGAATTAATAGCTTTCTTGAATGCTTGATTAGATTCAAACGTAAATTCAAAAAATGTTTGGGGAAATCTTCAATCTAATAGTTTTCTCTGCCTTGTCCATCCTTTATCTTCCCAGGTCTGGAGCATCCTGTCTTGGACTCGCAGTATGAGCCTTCCCCTTGGTCCTCTGGCTCTCCCTGCAGCAGTGATAGCAACAGCAACTGGGGCAAAGTCCTAGTGGACGGAAGTACTGACAAACCCAACATCCCCTCTTCAACCAACTCTTCTGTCTGGCCTCCCTCCTCTTCCTCTTTCTCTTGCTCTTCTTCTTCCTCCTCTTCTGGTTGTGGGTCAGGATCAGACCCTGAGCTGGCATCAGAATGCATGGACGCTGAGTCTAGCTCCTCAATTGGCTCAGAGAAAAACCTCTCCGCTGTTGCCGTGACAACAGTGATGATGATGTCAGCAAATGCTTCCTCCTCTGTGTCTTCTACGGCTTCTTCCCCCTCTTCGGTGACATCTGCAATGATGGTCGGCGTTTCTGTGAATGGAGACAGCAACGGAAACAGTCGGCAGGTTATTGGTGGAGGGATGGGAACCATCAGCCCTGCAAATAATGGAAATAACAATATCACAGGGTCCTCCCACTACTCCGTGGCTGGGTCCAGCAGTATTGGCAGCAATAACATGGGTAACCACAACATCAAGCTCGTCAACAGCAGTGGTGTATGGGGCACCCAGTCAGGCAGCAACATGATAACCACAGGTGGAAGCACCCCCTGCATCAATGGAGGGTTAAACCCAAACACTTTAAACCCAAATGCCAACCACGGTGCCTGGCCCCAGAATCCAACCCCAAGCCCAGGGTCCCTGGGCCAACGGCCTCCACAGGCTCAGGGGATAAGTTCCAAACTGGGTATAGCCCCCCAACAGGGCCCCTTGCTGGGCTGGGGTGGCATGGCAGCTCCAGACAACAGCAGTATGATGGAAGTCACTGATGTGAGTAATGGTACAGCAAGCAGCAACAGTGGAAATGGTGGCCTGCAGTCTACCAACCTTAACACTGAATCCAATGGACCAAATAACACTATTATGATGAATACTACTACTACTACTACTAATGCCACAATGACCTCTAGTCCACCAAACTCTACCGCCTCACCCCAACTCAGTGGGGATTGTTCCTGGGGTTCCATTGGAGGAGGGAATGGTGGTCCGATGGCCAATGGAAATCCCTCATCAGCCCCCCAGAACCCCCAAGGAGAGCTGGGGGTTGCTGGGGCCTTCGGTACGCCTTGGGGCGCAACTACCTACCCTGGAGACAAGGGCCCCCCAAATGCAGACACTGTGAACCCACAAAACCCTGCCTTAATGCAGGCTGGAAACCCCCAAATCTCCTCTACTGCTGCTTACAAGAGTAATAATAACCACAATAACACTGGGGCCCCGCGCTGGGACCAGGGGCCTGCCAATAATCCTAACCAGCCTCAGAGCAACTTGTCCTGGGGTGTCGGCTCAAATCAAATCCCAGGCTCTGCAGGCCCAGGCAATGGGAACCAAACTACGATGGGCCCTCCAGCAGGGATACCTCGTCCTTGGGGGAGCAGCGCATCATCTTCGTCCTCAACCTCATCGTCCTCTTCCACATCAAACAACAAGATGTCAAATGGAGAATGGGGATCAGCAGCTCCAGGTAACACCACAGATGCTGGAAATCAGAAAGGAAGCTCAGCCAACAATGGCTGGAAGAGCCTAGAGGATGACGCCATTGGCATGGGAGGTGGAGCAGGTGGAAGCCATGGCCTAGGGAGTGTCACTGGAGGCTGGGGTCGCTCTGGAGGAAGTGAGGGAAGTGGAGAAAGCTCTGGAGGTCAATCTAGCTCAGACAGAGATGGCACTCTGTCAAAAGTAGGAAACCGCAGAAAAGGTACCAATTCTCCAACAGCAGTATCAGCCCCGTCCCGGGCTGATGTGGACCCACGGGTTCTGTCCAACACTGGGTGGGGTCAGACTCCCGTACGGCAAAACACCACCTGGGATGTCAATTCTCCAATTAACATTCAGCCCCAGGGTCCAAGACGAGATGACAGAAAGCACAGTAGTAGTGGCTCCAACTGGGGTACAGCAGGACCGTCAGCTCCTTCCCAGAACTCTGGAGGTATTGATATGTTTAAAAACATTTGATTGATTGCATTGTACTGATATGATTCACAAAACATTGAGAAGAATAACCAGGACTAGGTATTGCAGAAGAAAAAAAGAAAAAACAAACCCTTTCAACCCCCTTTCATTTACTTTCAGGCTGGGGTGGTCGTCCGAACAGCTCAGGTCAGGATGCAGGAGGTTCTGGCTGGGGAGACCAGAGACCAAACTCCAGTTGGGACAGCAAAGTCTCAGCGAGTGGAGGTGGTGGGCAGAGTGGCTGGAATGATGGTTCCAGCTACAAGGGTAGCAACACCAATAGTAACACATGGAGCAACAACTTTAACAAAGATGACAGGTGATTAATGCTTTTTGTATTTCGAGCTCACATTTCATTATCTTTTCCCAACACTATTGCCTGCTGTCTATGTTTTACTGATCCTTTATTTGTTTTTGTTTAGGTCCAATACCTGGACTAATGCGCCCAAAGCGCAGCAGGGCTGGGGTTCCAACAGTGGGAATGGAACTGAAGGGTGGGGTAGCAGTGGAGATGGTGTCAGAGGAGGACCCAACAATCAATGGGGGGAGCCCCAAAAAGGTGCTGGCTCAGTGGGCTGGGACAGCGACAGCGACCGGTCTGGCTCTGGATGTTGGAGCGATCCAAGCCGAACCAACACCAGCAGCAGCAACACCTGGGTCGGGAGTGGAGGATCAAATACTCCAGATCAGAGCGCGTCAAACCAAGGTTCCAACTGGAGTGAATCAGTCCACAAACCCAATTCTCAGAGCCAGGGCCAGGGCTGGGGTGAGCCAATGAAGAACAACCACGGGGCCCAGAACTGGGGTGAGCCGAATCCCAAGCCCTCCAACGAGTGGGGGAAAGGTCCCGAACCACACATGTCCAGAAGCAACCATGGCTCTAACAAGCCCTCAGGTAATTGTGAGGGCTACTTATCAGAACCAGCGTCTCAACAGGATGTTTTTTCATTTATTTATTGGAAGGTTTCACTTAGTTGCATTACTGTGTCATACAGTGAGATCAATGGTACCAAAACTGAATTAGCTCTTTAGAGATTATTACTCAATATCAAGATAAATCAGTGGGACGGCATGAAATTGTCATTATTCCATCAGGCTGGCTGGGAGGCCCCATACCCACAGGAGGTCAGAAGGAGGAAGTGGCTACTGGGTGGGAAGAGCCTTCTCCAGAATCCATACGGCGCCGAATGGAGATCGATGATGGCACCGCAGCTTGGGGAGATCCTGGTAAACACTTAATTTAGTGTTTGTTACCAAGAAGAGCCATGCAAGGCCTAAACAAATCACATGCATTTCCAGACTTCTCCATTTCAGCAGATTGTCAATTCAAGCTGATGACAAAACATTTGAATGAAACTGTCTTCCTAGGCAAAAAAAGTGGTGGATCTGTCAACATGTGGAACAGGACCAGCCAATCAGACCAGGAAAGCAAGGGTCAGTCCTCTCAGCACCAGTCTCATCCAGCACACAACTCCATGCATCCTCCTCAGCCCATGCATCCTCCTGCACAGGAGAATAACTGCACTTCTGGTAAGCTGGGATATTTGTGCATGCACACAATTCACAACTGTATGTTTGGATTTATGCACTTACTAATAATTATTGATTTGCCTATTGAAATACATTGGTAAAATATAAAATTTAACACACATGGCTCTAACACGTGTATAAACAATGATTCTTATTCACTGCTGACTCACTTTATATTTTAGACCTGCAAAGATTTGTTGGCTTGGTTACAACAGATTCTCTGGGTAAATGCCCTGCAGGGATGCTTTCATTTCAACATTCCTGAATGACAGTGTTTCCATCAGTTCCCTAGTTCTGTTGATTCTCAAATGTAAATGTGAATCTGGGTTGCATTAGCTTGCACTTAAAGATTCTGTTTTGTTTTAGTTAATTTCCGAGGTAGGACACGAACCTGTGTATAAATGGCACGAGCATGTAGGTGCAGGCCTGTATGGCTTAAGAATGGATCAGAAAGTCCCACCCACAGGCTCTTTTTAACATACCTGGAATACGGTCGGAAAGGATTTAGATTGTGACTACAGACTTGTGCATGTATACAAAGGCTGACACAATTTGCACAGAAAGATAGACAGGAGACAAACACATGCAGCCGTTCTCTCCCGTCTCCCTCCCTGCAGTTTTGTCTATGTTGAGGGCTTTTTGTGGAGCAGGTTGAGTCATCCCTTTGGAATGCTAAGAGCATCGATTCTTCTCTTCCCTCATTTGCCTTTTTTTTTTTCTTCTTCCTTTCTCTCTCACCCACCAAAGGCTGTAGAAACACAGGCTTTTGTTGGGTTTAAGACAAAAGAGAGAGAGCGAGAGACTGCCAGTGATAGAGGAGGTCTGGTGACTAAGTAATAGGAACGGTTCCAATGTAAAATCTGAACTGAAATGGGTAAGGTTGCAATTCTGTAGAAGTGGGCTGAGAAGGGGAGGGGCTGCAAGGGTTATTCAGGGTTGCTGGTCTAGCGAGCTAACTGGAGATGCTAAGTGGATGGCTAGGAAGGGTGTGGTGAACTAGAGAAGAGCAAACAGAATTGCTTGGAGGACTTTAAATATTTGAGTTAAAATTTAAAAGTCCATATGTCATATTTAATCAACCTGGACTCAAAATCGGAACATTTTATTCTTGTCTTAGTCAAAGGAAAAGATAAACATTTCTCTCCAGGCCCAGATTGAGCACTTATGTCAAATGTCAGCCAACTGCTTTCAAATTTAAATTTTTATCCAACTGAGTTTTATGAATTGAGTCTGAAACATTAGCAAATATACTGCAATCTCTTTCTTGCAATATGAGGTGATCAAAATGTGACAGACCTCACAAACGAAAAGAACATGTTACAAAAGCCCTGGGATCCTTCAATTATGATATTCAGTTTTGTCAGGACTGTGTCACTATGGTGTTGATTTAATTTTGTCAGCCTTAGTGGCACTGTAGCAAATATTTGGAGCCTTTTTGCATGTGAAGCGGATTAACTACTGGCGAATAGACCTCACTCAAGTCCAAAACAATCTTCTACATTATGTGCTTTGCCTTGATAACCAGTAGATACACAGTCTACATTAAGCCATCCCATTCAAAATCAACATGGGCTGTGTTTGGCAATGAAAGTGTTTGGTTTGTGTATCCATGCTAATGCACATGCAAACAAACAAGCAAAAGGTTTCCAGCGTATCTGACCGGTCTACTGACTTTCAGTGACACTCAATCTCCACCCGCAAGCAATGTAGTAATGCCCTGTTGTTTAGAGATGCTATTAGATAATGTTTTGTTTTGACATCAACACAGTAACACTAAGATGGACATGCAACCCTGTTTATGTGTTGAACATTACAACACATGGATCTATGTGTCAGTTTTTCTGTCGCAGTGTTTATCACGTTAGCTGTGTGTGCATGTGAGTCTCTGTTATGTTTTTGTATTTGTGTGCGAGTGTGCCCAGTCACATGAGCGACACTGGAGCTAGAGGCCACCCCATGATCTGTCCTATTTTTGTGGGGAGGTATCCCTGGCATCTCCCCAAATGCCTCCTGTGGAGGGAGAAAGTAGCAGGTCTGGGTGGTCGGCTGTAACAGGAGCCTTTTGAACTCATACATACACACACTTGAACACATAGTCTCACATTTGAAATTATGTTGGGACCTATGCACATGTCTACATAGCCACCAGAGGGCCATTTACATAAGCAAGCTGGAATTAACTATTTTGCTGAGTGCAGAAGTTTAATAGACACCTGTGATAAGATGTGTTTCTTATGATGAATCAAATAAACACAAATATTGATTTCTATCTAATACTGACAGTAACATTAAATGAGACAGAAACTATATCCTCCATCTTACAGTTAACCCCCTCTTTTTTCTTTCAGGTTGGGGTGAGCCATATCCCAAGCAGAAGGAGTCCTCAACATGGAGGGAGCCTGCCGCTGCGCCGCCACCGCCTGTTTCGGTGGACAACGGGACGTCTGCCTGGGGGAAGCCCATCGACAGCAGCTCCACTTGGGAAAAACCCAGCAGGGACAGCAGAGACTCTGGGCCTGGCTGGGGTGGCCACCATAAGTCTGGTAGGTGACCACATGAACATGAATTTTCAGGGAAAATAACCTGTGAATCCTGAAAGAAGATGTTAATCAGACAAATGGCAATCGTGCAGGACAGATAATTTCCCCTGTTGGTGGTGAACAAAATGAGCAATAAGACCAAATACAGTTTATAGGTTGATTCAGTTTCTTCCTGCCTCCCCTTCCTCTTTGATAGCTCCAGGTCCCAAGCCCATGGAGACATGGTGTGGTGAGGACGGGTCCATGGGCAATAGCTGGGACCAGGAAGAAGAGGTGGAGATTGGCATGTGGAGCAACAGCCAACAGGACAACAGGTCACATGACCAAAACACCTGGAACTACAAGCAAAAAGCCCCAAACAAGGTAAGTTCACCTCTGTTTGCAACATGAAAACAAAAGTAAAGAAAACTTGAGATGTACTGAAAGTGCCCAAGTCGACGAGTACCCGAATCTATCAACTGATTAGATACCACGTCTGTAGAGTTTTTTTTATGGATTTACTAAGATAAAATATAAATTATTTCCTGGAAATCGCTTCTTCTTCCTTGCCGCTCCAAAACAGCAGTTGCACTCTACTGCCACTGGCAAGTACTGGTTTTAGAGCGGAAAAGAAGGTATTTTCTGACCCTAACCCTTTTAGCTGCCTTTATTTATGACAGAGCAATTGATTTGTCTCATCTAGCAGAGTCATAATAAAATATTTTGTCTGCTGTGTTTCAGATGAACAAACCAGTCAACAAACAGGATGAACCCTGGATGAAACCTTTCATGAACCAGTTCAGCAGCATGAACTTTCCTGTAAGTGCCATTTCACATTATTTACTTTGTCTCGAGCTTTGGCCATTTGTAAAACACGTTGTTGCCATGTGTGACATACTTCCATCTAACCATATTTCTATATTAACTTGAATGTCTAGAACTAAAAGTTTATTTTAAGAGTAAACACATTATTTATCTGTGTCTATGATTAAATGTTCTCATCCTTCTGATGACAGAGAGACTCTCCCGACGACTCCATGAAGACAGGAGTGGGGATGGTGCAGGACAAGCGCATGGACATGGGCAATATGGGAGACTACAACGGAGTTATGGGGAAGAACCCTGGGTCTAGACACCAGCTCCACAAGGAGTCTCCCATGGATCGCAACCCTTACTATGACAAGGTGAGCAGAAACAAAGCCTTTCCCTGGTCAGTATTATAGATGGATATAAAGAATATACTCGATATGGTACGAATGGTCAATCTCCCCACTGTTGTGGTGATCATGAGGTAGGTCTGTGGAAGACTCACTCAGCCCTGTTGCGCCCCACAGTGGTTGTTCTAACACACTGCATTTGATGTGTTGACTTGAAATGGAATATTTCATTTGGTACTAGGTGATGGTATGTTTTAGTATCATTACAAAAGTTTTACCTGGAAAAAAGCCTCACGTGCTTAATTACAAGGGTTGTGTTATTATGCGGTAATGAATCATTCCCCTTCATTGTCCTGTACAAAGCTGCAGTGGTTTGGCTTTTCTTTTCTTTCTGCAGTATTTTCTGCCTCTTTGTTCTATTTGTTCTTTCTGACTCCCTTTCTCTCATGTCACCTTTTTCTCCCGCTCTCCCATCCTCTCCATCGCTTCATTCTTTCTTTCTTATCCCATCTCGCTCCTTCTACTGACACTTTTCCCACATGGTTTCCATTCTGTGCTTGTCCTCACATTTCTTGCTTTTGTCCTCCTCCTTCTATCCTCCTGGGGAAATTAACTCTATTCCTACTTCTCTCCTTCTCTCTCTGTTCCTTTTTGGCTGCTGATGTGCTTCCTGTCCCTCTGTGCTTGCCGTCTGCTGCGCACTTGGCCTTGCTTCTGCAGCTATCCGCTCCCCCCTCTGCTTATGATAGTCTGGCTTCCGATGAGCGCTCCTCCTATCAAAGCATGAGCTATTGCCCTTCCAATTCTGCTCAGCCTGTCCCCTGTCTCAACTCTGAGTCTCCTGCCCGCTGTAGTCCTGGGCCTGCTCGTCAGGTGAGTGTGGAAGGATGAAGAGGGTGATGTGTTTAGGTCTTCAGTTGGATCTTGTGAATTACAAGTTTCAAGAATGCTTGCTTTTGTGTATCCCCTGTTTAGAATGTAAACCCAATGATGGGTGGCAGCAGCGTAGCACAGGGCCGAGGTGGCCCCCAGTCCCAGATCCCCCCCCAACCCAACCTTCGTAACCAAGTGCCTCCACCCATCCTGCCCTCTCAGGTAGCACACGCACTCACACAGATACACACACGAACATTGCTTATCATTATTTTTTTTGTCTGCAATGTTTTTCATGTCAGGTCTTGTCACTGAAATAGTTTAAATGTTTGCAGATGCACCATCAGAGCATTTTCAAGACAGAACATGTTTATCCACAAATCACATCGTGGCCTTTCACATTTTTGAGCCTTGTTTCCTACTTTCCATTGGTTTCCTTTATTTCAGAACAGTGTGAGAAGACATTTGCAGGACATTTATCTTCCCCTGAGATGGATAATTGACTGTTAAGATCATAATAACATCTGATTAGTGGTGGTGTTTATTGTTAACGTGTAGAGTGAGCTCAGGTCAGCGGGGGAGGGAGGACATGAAGCAGGGTAATACAGCACGGTACAAGAATACCCGATGCATAATGTGAGTCTGCCCTGAAGCTGCAGCAGCAATAGGCCATAAGAAGAGATTTTGGAGCGGCCAAGGGGAAACACTGATTCTGATTTAAAAGTAACCTAAGCTATTAAATGTATGTATTTGTCTATACAAAACAGCTCAACGCCTGTGTAAGAGCAGAGATCCTACATTTCCATCAAATGTCAACAGTACAATTTGGTTTTGTGTGAAACCTGCAAGTCGAGGAAAATGCATTCAAACCAGAATCTTGTTTGTGTCAAGGTCCCTCCATCCCTGTTGAAGTACCCAGGAGGTAACGGAGGCCTGAACCCTCTGTTCGGACCTCAGCAGGTGGCTGTGCTCAACCAACTCTCCCAGCTCAACCAGCTGTCGCAGCTCAACCAGATCAACCAGTTACAGGTAGAGTGAACACAAACAAGTGGAGGAATGTGACATTTCCTTTTAGAATTATACTTGATTTTCTAATGATTTCCAAATTACAGTAGTGAATTACAAAATCCTTCTTGATGCTTAATACAAAGGTGGCAAATATTTGTTTCTTTGAACTGAAGAGAGACAAGACATCTGTTAATTTTTTTTAACAATCTTGTTTTTCTGCAGCGTCTTCTCCTCCAGCAGCAGCAGCAGCAACAGCAGCAACAGAAGGCTCAGAGCCAGAGAGCAATGCCCGTGGGACGACAGCCTGAACAGGTGTGTTTCTAAAAATCTCTCCCGAGTCCTGCTTCACTACGCCCACAGTTGAAGTTATAAAACAGTACAGTATCTCTAAATGGTGTTGACTTCTGTAACCTCCTGTCTCCAATCCGTAGACACGTCCTATTGGTTCGTCTCCATCAATGATGCAGCCTCCACGTCACCTGGACCCCTCTTTGCTAAAACAGGCCCCACCTCACAAACCGTACCTGGATAACTACATGTCCCACAATACACCTGATATGCAGAAGGATGCTGCCTCTCTTGGATCCTTCAGCAACTTCCCTTTAAGTATGTCTGCAACTATCAGTCTTTTTCACTCACTTATATTTGACAGTGTAAACAACCCTTTTGTTCAAACTCCACCATTAAATTTAAGATTAATTGATTGAAATTCTTCTGTTTCCTCCTTCGTCAGGCTTGAACTCTAACCTGAATGTATCCCTGGACATGGGTGTTAGTGGCGGTAGTAGTGGCGGCGGAGCTGTGAGCTACAAAGAGCCGCCCCAGTCCAGAATGAAGAAACTGTGGGCTACTGACCCTCTGGAGCAGAACAGCAAATCTGGTACAGATTATACTGAAGATGACGTTACAAGCTGTAGTATCTCACTGGCCTGTTAATATTTTTTTACAGTGTGATTACAGTTGTTTGTTCAATAGTTTTTATTGTAATGATGCTGCTCTGGCCATTGAAACCTTGTTTGTATAAAAGAAATACTGATATGAAATTGGCTCTGTGGTGAAAACTGAACTTGTTATATTGGGAGTGTTCCCTTACCACCTGTTTGTGTTCATCCCTCAGGTGCTATGTCGTCTGGGCTGCGTCTGGAGGACTCTCCCTTCTATGACTTCCTGTCTCCTGGCCCGTCTCCCCTGAGTCCTCCCGGCCAATCAATGGGCTCGGTGGGCGACGGCTGGCCGCCCCGTGCCAACTCCCCCCCGCCCCATGGAAACACTGTCACCTGGCCCCCAGGTACTCTTGCTTACACAAGCTCAAACATAAAAAGCAGAAAAATGTTTTGCTTTTGCTAATCACTGTGTCTGTGCTTGTCTGTGTGCAGAGTTCCGGCCCGGGGAGCCCTGGAAAGGTTACCCTAACATTGACCCTGAGACTGACCCCTACGTGACCCCCGGCAGTGTCATCAACAACCTCTCCATCAACACCGTCCGTGACACAGACCACCTCAGGGACAGGAACAACGGTAGCTCGCAAAACAAAACATTTAAAGAGAAGTTTTGATGGGAATAATTTTCAGTTGTAGCCCAATAGAAATGTGTAGGTGTGTTTTTGCATTAACCTAATTTTTTTTATTTTAAAACTTAGAATTAGATGTCATAATGTAAGAAATCGTGAACCTGAATTAACTCAATGACAGACTTGAAGGAATAAGTAATTTGCTCCTCAGCAGATTTAAGGATTGAGATTTTAAAGGGCGCTGTTGCTGCTGCTGCTGCTGCAACCTAAACACTAACCCTCGTCTTCATCATTCCCAGGGCCATCCTCATCACTGAACACCACGATGCCTTCTAACAGTGCCTGGTCATCCATTCGTGCCTCCAGCCACAGCGGTTCCCTCACCAGTACAGCACAAAGCACTTCAGGTATGTAGTTTCACCCTCAGACGTCTTGTTTACTCCTCCCCCTCACTAAGGCCACAAGTCTTTGAGACAGACGACCATCCGATCCATGAAAATAGTCTGGACTGATGTAAAAAGTTTCACTTTGCTCTCGTCCCCCTCACAGCCAGATCCAGCGAGTCAAAGTGGTCTCCCGGTGGCGGTTCTGTGTCCAACTCCTCCCTAGCCCATGAGCTGTGGAAGGTCCCCCTGCCACCCAAGGCGTTGTCCGTGGCACCCCCCTCCAGACCTCCACCTGGCCTCACCAGCCAGAAGCCCAGTCCTGCTTCCTCTGGCTGGGATGCCTCTTCCCTGAGGTTGGGGGGTTGGGGCTCCACTGAGTCCAGATACACACCTGGTAAGAGCTTGTGACACTAAGTCAAATAAAAACTATCTCCATTTAAATTTTATCTTATTATTAAACTTTGACATACTTGCATTTTACCAACAATGCACATTGCTTCACCCGATAATCATATCACACTATGTGCATTGACAGGTTCCAGTTGGGGTGACAGCAGCAGCAGCTCAGTGAGAACCCAATGGCTTGTCCTGAAAAATCTCACACCTCAGGTACTCCCACGTGAATTTAACATCTACTGCTTTATATTTCAATTATGTAGCTCAGGATATTTTTTTAGAAAACTTACCTTGGATGTCTGTTTCCCCTCAGATTGACGGCTCTACCCTGAGGACCTTGTGCATGCAGCACGGCCCTCTGATCACATTCCACCTCAACCTGCCACATGGTAACGCTGTGGTATGCTACAGCTCCAAGGACGAGGCCGCCAAGGCCCAGAAGAGCCTGCACATGTAAGTTTCAGAAAGAGGAAGCTGTCACTATGACTGCAGGACAAATGGTAGGTCAACAAAGTTGGTCTCCACTGCTGAACGTTTGTAAATTCTAAAACTACTGAAAAGATCAGGGGTAGGAAAGTCATTTCATTGTTGACCTTCTTTGTGGAAACACAGATTTGCATCAACAAGATACACTGTGCGTGTGTCTGATAGTGAATCGTGGCTGCAGGATGGTTGGAAACTGCACACACACGCTCACACACTTATCTGGCGTCTCTCTGCAGGTGTGTTTTGGGGAACACTACCATTCTGGCTGAGTTTGCCAGCGAGGAGGAAATCAACCGTTTCTTTGCACAAGGGCAGTCATTGGCCACTCCCTCCTCCGGCTGGCAGGCCATCGGCTCCTCTCAGACCAGAATGGATCAGTCTCACCCCTTTCCCAGCCGCGCTCCTGAACCGAACCAGTGGAACAGCAGCGATCTACACAGCTCCTCCCTCTGGGGCGGGCCCAACTATTCCAGTAGCCTGTGGGGGAGCCCCAGTGGCACCGAGGCAGGGAGGATCAGCAGCCCTTCTCCAATCAGCTCCTTCCTCCCGGTGGATCACCTGACAGGGGGTGGGGACTCCATGTGATGGGCCTGCCAATCAAACTGGCTGGGGGAAGGGTCAGTAGAGAATTATCAATAATCAGCAGAAGAAAATGAAAAAAAAAAAGTAGTTAAAAACACAAAGGCACTAGTTGGACTCTTTCTCACTTACAAGATATTCAACAAAACGGGGTCTCCCCGTGGAATACAAGTTACGTTTCTCTCTCTGCACATATGTCCACTTTGTTTTAGCCCAAAAACATATCAGTCGGAATACTTGAATCATGCAGGCCAATTCTATAATGTGAACAGATGGATATTTGCTTCCAGGTAGTGCTCTTTCAGACCGAAAAAAGCTTCAATCGAGCTCATTATTAT